TTTGTAAAGTTTTCCCTTATTTCTGACAAAATTGCAATTTTGAAAGGCCCAGAAGCCAGATTTCTTCCTTTTTCATTTTCCCAAAATTCTCTATATTTTTGCCTGCTTCGCTGAAAACGCATGCCAATCGTTTCGGAATTACAAATTTTTCGGTAATTTTTATTTAGTTTTTTCCGAAAAGTTTCTACTGCGGCCCCTAACGGTACCTTACAGCCTCCATATTAATTTGTTAACATTTTTCAATCTTATTTTTTCGTTTAGCAAATCCTTGGACATTGCCTGACAAACCACAGCAAAAGCATTTGCCAAGAACGTCTTCATTAATCAAGAACGAAAATCAGAGGTTAAAAAATGTTTTTTTTTATTATATTTAGATTTTTTTAAACCTACGGATGTAGGTTTGCTTTTTTCGAATCGTGTTTGTGCGGAGGGGTCATGCACGATTTTTTTAAAACGTCTTTGTTTTTAACGTTTCTAACGGGTTTTTAACGGGTCGTGCCCAATTTCGTTAAAATTTGATCCACTTTTACGGTTGAAGCTTCCTAGCCTTCCCAAATTCTCTTAATTCTAATTTTTCCTTACTTTTTGCTGATTTTTGGGGTGAAAAATTCGAATATTCGGCCCCTCCGTCTCGTAAAAAATTTTGTTAAAATTTTTCAAATTTCAGTTTGGAAATTTATTAAGTTGTTGGACCATGTCCAGACAAACTACAGCCAAATCAATTGCCGAGAATGTCTTCATTAATCGGAACGAAAGTCAGAAGTTCGAATTTATTTTTTAATTAAATTTTTGGCGTTCCTAACGAAATTTTTTTGTAATATTTTTTTATTTTTTCAGCGCCACAGGTGAAAATTTTTTAATTCTGGTGCTCAAGAAGCACCAGAACTTTTTCCCTTTCAGCTGCCTAAGATTCGAGATTTTTGAAAAGCCTGGCCTGTTCATGGGGTTTATTTGATTGACCTGGGCCCCCGTCTTTCCCCCAATATTTTTGAATCTTCCTGTTTTATTTCCACGTCAAAACAGACAACAGAGTTTTGTTTTTGAATTTTTGATTCAAAATTGCCCGCCTAAAATTACAATTTGTCATTTTTTGGCATTGTGGTTATATATTATTCCCTCAAAATATTTCCCGCCAAATTTTTTTCCGTTAGTTTTTTAGTTGTTACAGTTAGTCTTCCAGGATTAGAAAATTTTATTTTTTTAAATAAAAGTTTTTTAATTCAGGCTATTTTAGATCAGAGCATGGAATAATAGAAAACTATTTCGGTTCCAATTTATTGGTTTTACGGACTGAGATAATGGTTAACTGAGACAAACGAAGAGGTTTTTTTCAGTTTTTCATTTTTTTTGATTTTCTTTAAATTTAGGGGAATCAATATTGCCACGAGACCGATAGAAAACAAGTACTGTGAACTGAAGTTGCAAAGCACTTTGAAGAATGAATTAAAGAGGACGTGAAACCGGTGAGGTGGAAATGGATAGAGTCGGCGTACCTTTCAAGTATTTGGACAGGTTTGTTTTAAAGTCTAAATTTAATAAATTTTCCATGCGAATCCCACGGAGGTGGGTTTTGATTTTTCATCTGCCGTCTGTTTAGAAGAAATATACCAAATTCTTCCTTTTTTTATAATTTTGGTACGTTTTTAAGAATCAGGCTTTTGGGGGGGGGGGCACCGGTTTCATGTCCTCTTTAACAATCTTCAAAGTGTTCTGGGTCTCCTCTCCCCGTGTGTTTGTTTACAAAAAATTGAAAGGGAAAGGAGGATGGTATAAATAGGCGCGCAGCCATAACTTGCTTCAAAATTTCCGAATCTACAAAATTTGGTATCTAACGATTCCTCTCATCGAGCTAACGAGATTGGGGGGCGGGGGTTTAATAGGTGAGGGTTTTAATAGGTTTTAGTGATTGAGATTTTTGAAAACCCTGGACCTGTTCCTGTGTTTGATTTATTCCTCTGGACCGGATCCAGGGTCTTGGTCCATGAAAAACTCAGGCCTAGAAAAAAACCCCGGGAAGGTTAGTTACACTGAAATAGCTTTTTATGAATTTTCTGAATACTTTTGAAAAAATTACTTTTAGGTAAAATTTTCGCTAGCGGCGCTGAAAAAGGAAGAAATCTGTTTTCTGATCTGCCTGATTCTTAAAATTTTTCCAAATTCTTACAATTTTCGCCTTTGCTAAAAAATATGTTTTTATTAATTTTTTCGTTTTCTAGGATGATTTTGCTACAAGACCGATATCAAACAAGTACTGTGATTAAAGTTGCAAAGCATTTGAAGGGAGAGTTAAAGAGGACGCGAAACAGATGAAATGGAAATGGATAGAGTCGGCGTATCTTTCAAGTATTCAGCAGGAGAGGTTTTTCTTTAATTTTTTAAGTTGGGTTTATCTTTGAATTTTGGTGTTCCAAATAAAATTGTCAGGTCCAGAACCGCGAATGTTTTGGGTTACCTCAAATCCCGCTTTTCGACCCGAAACTCTACCCGCGGAATTTTCGAAAGTCGGACTTGAAAATATTTTTTTGCATTTTCGCATATTTGCATTTTTCGGTAGGATATCCGAAGATTTCCCTATAGATGATTGAAATTTTTTTAATTATTTTTATTCATTCTTTTCTTTTTATGGTAGTGCTACCGGACCGTAAGCAAATAAGTATTGTGATGGAAAGTTGCAAAGCACTTCGAAGAGAGAGTTAAAGAGGATGTGAAACCAGGTTTTTATTTTTCACTTTTTAAGTACGACGGGAGTGGGTAATTTTTTTATTTAGTTAATCTACGGATGTAGGTTGACTTTTTTGGATCCCATCTGTGCAGAAGGGTTATGCCTGATTTTTTAGAAGTCCGTTCTGGGTTTAGGTCCGAGCTTCCTGGCTTTCCAAAATTCTCCTAACTTTTCATTCCCCAATTAAATTTTGTATTTGTTGGAGGTCAAAAGTCAGATTTCTTCCTTTTTCAAGTTAGTCTGAAGTTTTTAGTTTTGAAGTATCCGATGGACATTGACATTACAGGGGTATGTTTATGAGAATTTTGGTAAGCCAAGGAGCCAGATTTCTTCCTTTTTCAGTGCCCTTTCTTTTTCAGTGCTTTTTCTTCACACTGAATCTAAATTTTCACTTTTTTACTTTAAGAAGTCATCGCCCGTGGGACAAACTACAGTGAAAGCGTGGCCAGACAAACTACAGAAAGAGGTTCGCGAATTTTTTAAATTTAAATTTTTATTTTATTTAACCTGTTTGTGCAGTGTGGTCATGCCCATTTTTTAAAGATTTTGTTTTTAACGAGTCGTGCCCAATTTTTTTAAAATTCGGTCGACTCTTACCTTTTAAGCTTCCTGGCCTTCCAAAATTCTCTATATTCAAATTTTTCCTTAACTGGCGATATTTATGGGTGATTTTTGGGGTGAAAAATTCGAACAAACGGCCCCCCCCCCCCCCAAGTCGTAAAAAAATTTGTAGAATTTTTTCAAATTTAATTTTTTAAATTTAGCAAGTTGTTGGACCATGGCTAGACAAACTTCAACAAAAAACAATTGCCAAGAATGTCTTCATTAATCAGGATCGAAAGTCAGAGGTTCGGAAATCTTTTTTAATTTAATTTTTAATTTCTTTACCTACGGATGTAGGTTTGCTTTTGAGAATATTGCCTGTGCGGAAGGGTCATACCCAATTTTTTTAAATTCGGGGTAATAGTTCCGTTCGTACCCCATCTTTTTTCTCTTCTACAAGTATAAAAAATCGTATTAAAGTATTAAACAATGGCCTACCGAAATGGTGGAAGGAAAAAATTTAATGAGTGGAGAATGAGGGAAAAATTTAATGAGCGTTTTGCCTGTCCGGGTCCGTCCGAGTTTTGCCTGTCTGGGTCCGTCCGAGTATTGTCTGTTCGGGCCAAACATTTTTTTGGCGGGAATATTTGCGAGCCAAGGGGTCGATTTCCGGGTTGGGGGGAGCAACATAGGGTGTGCGCCTAAAGTTTCTGTCCATTCCGTAGATTTTTGCGCCGAGGGCGAAATTTTTTGATTTTTTTTTTCAAGTTCTCGTGTCCATAATAATTTTAGATACAATTAATAAAATTTACCTTTTAAAATACATACCTGCCAACGGTTCAAACTGGGCAGATGCCTACGGTTAAACCGGACGTATAAGTATTTCAATTCTTATTTCATTTATTAGATTTTCTAGACGAAGAGCTTTTCAATCAAATAATTTTATGAAGGATGTTCCAACTCGTGCCCATAATAATTTTAGATACAATTACTAAAATTTAACTTTTAAAATACATACCTGCCAACGGTTCAAACTGGGCAGATGCCTACGGTTAAACCGGACGTATAAGTATTTCAATTCTTATTTCATTTATTAAATTTTTTAGACGAAAAGTTAGACGAAGAGCTTTTCAATCAAATAATTTTATGAAGGATGTTCCAACTCGTGTCCATAATAATTTTAGATACAATTAATAAAATGTAACTTTTAAAATACATACCTGCCAACGGTTCAAGCTGGGCAGCTGCCTACGGTTAAACCGGACATATAAGTATTTCAATTCTTATTTCAGTTATTAAATTTTCTAGACGAAGAGCTTTTCAATGAAATAATTTTATGTTTACGGCAGGATAGACGGGTCATGCCGGTTTTTCTCTTACATGGGGGGGGTGTTTCCTCTGTAATGGAGGGGGGGGGGGTTATCGTAGAGTGAAAGCCATGTTCAACATGGTGGGCAACTCTACTTTTTTGTTACGTGTATAAATTTTTTTTAAATTTATTTTTTAAAGTATCACTTTGTTTTGATTGCTGTAGTTTTTCTCCCACTTTCCTTTTTTTTTAGTTTGTTTCGCGTTTAAGTTATTGCTTTTTAATTTTATTCGCTTTGTTGTAATTTATGATATATTTTCGCGTTTTTGACGTTTTCACTTAATTTTGCTTTTGTTACCGTTTAAGCCTTATTAATGTTTTCTTTTTCAGATATTTTAGATAATTTATTATTTATTTTATTTAAAAATGCCTTCAAAAGATTTTATGAACCGGAGGAAACGACAAAAGCGGCGTTTGGATGGTGGTAAGTTAGGTAGTGTTGCAACCAAAAGTTGCAAGGTTGATGGTGTTTCCGATGATGGTAATGTTTTGAATGTTAATTCACCCGGGGTTAGTTTAGGTGATGGTATTTTAGAAAGTGTATCAATGGTTGATGGTGCTGAATTACATTCAAAGAATGTTTTGGTTGAGAGTGAAAGTAATGAGAGAAAGTCGGTTGATGGTGTTTTTGATAGGGGTTCTTTGGTTGATGGTTCGTTAGTTGGGAGTTCTTTTGGAGAAAATTTTGTGGGTGAAAGTTCTTTAGTTGATTGTTCTTTGGATAATAGTTCGTTAAACTTGAATGATTTAAATTTAACAGGAGATTTTGACAATGTTTCGCTAAGTAGTGAAGTTTCTTATGAAAGAACTAAAAGGGGACGACCTAAAAAGTTAAAGCGTAGTACAGGCCGACCAAAGAAATCCAATGTAATTGAAAATAGTTGTGTTATGGAAGTAAGTAATAATGTTCAAAATTTTATGCCAGTTCAGGCTACAGATATTCCTATGGGTCCTGTATCGCATTTAGCAGGTCCTGTATTGCATCCAGATAATAATACAACTAGCAACATAGTCCATGCTCCTGTATTTTTGTCTATTGATTTGTTAGATATACCTTTTGGTCCAATGCCTGATATTGAAAATAGAATTTTTACCGACGATATTGTTTTTTCAAGGCCCGAAATTATTAGTTTGTGGTCAGATCCTACTGTGTGGTTACAGGACAGTTTCGTTTTTATTTATTTAAAATTTTTGTCGTATCGTTCCCATTTAAATGTTGTTGTTGTTTCGCCCCACTTTATTGTTGTTGAACACCATTTTGGTCAGGGTGTTGAGCCTCTTAATATTTTTGAGTATTGTTATAATTATAACCAGGATTATGATATTTTATTAATTCCAATTATTTTTCCTGGTCATTTTGGGTTGGTAATTTTTGATCGTTCTGATCGTAATAATTTTTCTTGTATTTTTGTTGATTCTTTGCCTTCTGTTAATCGTTTAACTGATGTCACTTGTGGTGTTTTTGATCAAAGACGTGTAGATTTAATTAAAAGTTGTATTTGTGATTTGACACCTGGTCTTTTTGCTGAGAATATAAATATTCAAGTTTTGTCCCGTTCCCAATTTACTGAACAAAGAGATGGGATTAGTTGTGGGTTTTTTGTTTGCCTTTATTCTGAATTGTTTTTGTTTAATAATAAATCTTTAATGATTCCTAATTTAAATATTCAACATGAGAGGAAGCGTATTTTGTGGCATCTTTCGCAATTGATCCTTTCGAATGATATTGATTATGTTGGGATTTTTGATTATAATCCTAGAAATGCACCAGTGAATGATAATGTTTTTAATTTTAATCTCGATTTTGGTGATAATATTCTAGATAATTGCGTTGTTAATGATTGTCCTGTATTGAATTTAGAGCCAGACCCCCCATTAAGGAGGTCTTCAAGAATTGCAGCTAAAAATGATACTTCTGTTTTTAAAATACCTGAAATTGTGAATAATGGAAATATTTTTTATAAAATTTCATCCACTTGCCGTAGAAAACATAAACTATGGCCTTGCGCAGATGTTAGATCTATGCATTTTGAGCCTTATTACGATTCTGGTAATTTTGGTGACGAAGTTTGTTCTTTTTGTAATGCTTTATTATTAAAGTCGGAGGTTAATGAGACTTATAAGCAGAAATATAAAAGAATTACTTTTTCATATTGTTGTAGATGTGGTGTTGTTCAGCTTCCTCCTTTTAGTCCCCATCCGCAATTGTTGAAAGATTTGTCCGAAGGTGATTCTCAAGAATCTTTAGAATTTTTGCAACACCAAAATATCTATAACACATTGTTAGCTTTCGCATCAGTTTATGTCGGCCATAGAGAGTCAAATCTTGAGGGGGGAATTTGCTATTTGCTTAACGGAGAGTTTGTTCGCAAACTTAGTTCAATTTCACCTGGGAATGATGGGCCGTCTTTTTCACAGCTGTATATTTTAGATGCCAATACAGCTTTTGAACGTAGAATCAATAACGTTTCTTATGGAGGTGATAGAGTTGACCCAGAAACTCTTAAAAATTTAGATAATCTTTTGCGAGAAAGCCATCCTTTAGCGACTGCTTATAAAAATTTCCATACCCAATATTTGGAAAAATTACAAACTGACGGTCCAGATTCTGTTAAAAATTATCGACTTGTATTATTAGAAGCTAGAGATGCTCCTGTTATTGTTCGTGATCCTTCTGACCATCCTAGACAAGTTAATCTCCCCACTGAAGAGACATTATTTTCTGTTTGTACTGAAGCTGACGAATTGCCAGAGGTTAAGGGTATTTATATAACTGATCTAGAAGGACACTTATTTACTTTTGGACCGAATCATCCTTTAACAGATACATTATGTTATCCAATACTTTTTCCTTGTGGGGATGATGGGTATCATAAAAAAATACCTGTGAATAAAAATAATTTAACTAATATAATTGAAACGTCGTCTGATAGTGAAATTGAAGAGGAGTGTAATAAAAAGTATATTTCTGTTCGAGATTATGTTAAATATCGTCTTGCAGTTCGTAAAAATGAAAGTTATCATAATATTTGGAGTTCGGGTGGTGGATTAAGTCAGAAATATGCATTAGACTACAATGCTAGAGTGGATTCTGATGTAGCTAATTATTTAAGAAGAGATGATATGGATTTACGTGGTACATATCCGCCAGATGCCCTTAGGTGGTTGCAAAGAGATAGTGGTGCTAAATCTGTAGATGATCTTGGTCATATTGTTGCCTTTAGGAAATATCACCCAGGGACACGTCCCTATTTTCAAAACATGTTTTATAATGCAACTACGATAATGGCCCGAACTCGTAAACCTGGGTTTTGTTCCTTTATGTTTATGTTTACTTGCAATCCCAGATGGCCTGAAATAAAAAGAAACTTATTACGTGATAATCAGAAAATTGTTGATAGGTTCGATATTATTTGCCGTATTTATGAGGATAAGCTAAGAAAACTCCATAATCTATTAGAAAAGAAGCATATATTTGGTAATATTTTAGGGTTTGGTGAAAGTCGGGAGTTTCAAAAAAGAATTGGTGGTCCTCATTTACATAGAGTATATTGTACAGACATTCCTGCTACCCCAGAAAATGTAGAAAATTTAATTTGGGCTCATATTCCTCCAGAACCACCTGCAAATGATAACTCTGTATGGGCACATTTTTTACGTAAAGTTCGTGAACTCTTGCCTTTGTCTCAATTTCATGACTGTGGTGCTCATTGTAAAGATAATAGGGGTAAGTGTAAAAAAGGGTTTCCTAAGCCTTTTAGCAAGTTTACTATTTTGCACGAAAACAAACCAGCTGAATATAGGCGTCCCAGTCCTGATGATGGTGGTGAAACCTTAAAAATTCCACGGGGTAAAAATACAATTACATATGATAACTCACGAGTTGTTGCATATAACCCATTTATTCTTGTAATGTTTGAGTGTCACCACAATCTTGAATATGCCTACGGGCAATCTGATAATTTAAAGTATGCCTTAAAATATCCATTTAAAGGGACAAGTTTTTCGTATGTCAGAAGTTCTGTGGACGGCCGTATAAATGTCGATGAGCCCGCACAGTATGCTAAGATGATTTATCGAAGTCCTACCGAGGCTTTTTCACGATTAATGGGATATAAATACGCTTTTCTTTCTCATACAGTCATTGTATTACAAATACATTTGCCTGATAAACAAAAATTAGTATTTAGTAGAAAAACTGCTCCTACCATTCTTGCTAATGTTGAAAAAGGCATACTGCCGGATACACATCTTACTGCCTATTGGATTTTATGGAGAAAAAATATTAATGATCCCGTTATTAGGAATATTCTTTTTGAGGAGTTACCAGAAACTTATGCATTTGATAGTAAGGAGAAAGTATGGCGTAAGAGAAGAATGGCGCAAATTAGAAAAATTACTAAGCCTATTATAGGAAGAATTCTGTCTGTTTCCCCACGTGAACCGGAAAGATTTGCATTGTATGTCTTAACTAAACATTTTCCGGGAGATCCTGCTGAGTTAAAAAATGTTAACGGGCATGTTTGTTCCTCTTTTGCGGATGCTGCCCGATTAAGGGGTCTTTTTGAAGATAATGGGGTTTGGGAGCGTACATTAAGAGAGGCGTCTTTTTCATTAAACCCCTCACAAATGAGGCAATTGTTTGCAAATATTCTTGTATTTGGGGGGACAGAAAGGTGTGTTATTGATGGTTTATTTTTATGGGAAATGTTTAAGGACCAAATGTATGATAGAAGACGTTGTACTGACGCTGAAAAGCTTTTACGTATTGATAGAGCTTTAGCTATCATCGAACGATATTTGTTAAGTAATGGTCGCACTATGGATGAGTTTGAGCTTCCTTTACCAAATAATCCACTAATAAATGACCCAGATAGGGCTTTAGATGTTTTTTTCTTTCCGAATAATATTAATAGTGATGAGCTTGATGAGACTGTAGATACCTCTGCTTTAGAAAGGGCAAACTTAAACACAGAACAAAATAATTTCTTTAATATGATTCGTGATGCTGTTTTTGACCCAACTTGTGTTAATAAATATTTTTATTTGTCAGGAGACGGTGGCACAGGCAAAACTTTTTTGTTAAATTATGTTCTTTACCAACTTAGGCAGTTAAATTTAAAAGTTTTGCCAACCGCCTCAACTGGTATTGCTTCCACAAAGTTTTATGCAGGGGGTATGACTTTTCACTCTGCTTTTCGTTTTGCGAAAGATGTTGAACCAGGCAAACTTCCTTTAGTTAAGTTTGACAGCTTTTTTGGTAGAAGAATTATTGAATGCGATGTAATTATTATTGATGAGATTACCATGCTAAATAAGATTGTGTTTGAAAATGTAGACCTTTTGTGTCGGAAATTGGTTCCTCAAAATAAAAATCATCCTTTTGGTGGAAAAGTTGTAATACTTTCAGGAGATTGGAAGCAATCTTTACCTGTTGTTCGAGATTCTTCTTCCCCTGGTGCTTCTGTTGCTGCCTCAATCCTATCCTCACATTTGTATCCGCTTTTCCACAAATTTAGACTTGTACAAAATATGAGAGTTATTCCATCCGAAATACAATTTAAAGATTGGCTTTATACTATTGGTACCGGAACGATCGGTGATGTTGTTAATATTCCTCCCAATATGATAGTTAATTCACGCCAAGAATTGTATGAATTTGTTTTCGATCAAGGTTTTACATTGTCAAGCAATGAATTGCTGAAAAGATTAATTTTAGCACCAACAAATAGGGTAGTAGATTCTATTAATTCTGAACTGATTGATATGATTGATTCACCCTTCCATGAATATTTGTCTATTGATAATCCTACAATTGAAAATCCCTTAGCATGTTATGCAGCTGATTATGATGTTGCACAATTGAATCGTCTCACTCCTAATGGAATGCCAGCACACTGTATTAAACTTAAAGTCGGCTCCATTATAGTATTACTTCAGAACCTAAACACACAAAAATCTTTGTGCAATGGAACAAGATTAATTGTCACAAGTTTACAATCCAATCTTATTGAGGCAGAGACAATTAATATTGGATCTGATCATGGTATTAGGGTCGGAATTTGTCGTACCAGAAATTCGTACGTTGATACTCATCCAGACGGCGTAAGCTTTGAACGTTTTCAGTTCCCTGTTCGAGTTGCTTTTTGTATGACAATTACTAAAGCTCAAGGTCAAACTTGTGAGCGTCTTGGTATTGATTTTTGTGACGAGCCCTTTGCCCACGGGCAGTTATATACAGCCTTATCGCGTGCTCGTAGTAGTGAATTTATTCGTGTATTTGCTCCTGGTAAAAAACCAAATAATGATAGAAGTATTCCTATAAGAAATGTGGTTGCAAACGGAATTTCATTTGATTAAATTAGCCGACACATTTTATTTACATTAATTTTTTCAATCAACTTCTTTCTAATATTCCATCAAAATTCCATTCAGTCATCAATTAACCCTGTCCGCGGTCGACCCCAATTGATTTACTTCTCAATTTATTTAGGTAACATTGATTGAAATTTACGAAATATTTAAAAATATTTTAGCAAGTGTTATAATGTAATTCTTTTTTAATTATTTGTCTATACGTTTAAATAAATTGAGAAGTACCGGATCCGTTGGTGTATTCGCACCAATCGATCTGGGTTTTGGGTTTGACTGCACAATGGTTGACTGGATTTTAGGACAGGGGGCATACCAGTTAATTGTTCTTTTTGTTTAGTTAAATAATTTAGTTAATGATTTAAAAATAAGTTTTACTTTTTTCGTTATAGTATATTTTTATTTTTCGTTTATTAAGTTTTCATTTTGAATTTTAAGATTTCAACAATTAACTGGTATGCTGTATCATAACTGTTTTATATT